TGACAGACTGGAGGCTAGGTCCTCACAGAGCCCTGAACTTTAATTACCGTTATTCTTACATTACAGATAAAAGGACTCAGGTTAAGAATGAGTGTGTAACTCACCTCAAATCACACAGGTAGTAAAGGTGGAGCTGAACTGGAGGTAGATCTGTTTGACTTGAATATACCAGACTTCTTTGCACTTGTTCGGATACCTAGTGTGGAAAAACAAAGCCAGCTGAATAGATCATTTATTATCCACATTCCAAGGTAAAATTAATGTTCCTGCAAAAATAAGGAAGAAGCCATAGAATTTGGGGATGAAGGGGCATTTGAAAGCCCATTTAAGGCATCCCGCCCCCACCCACCTGGTAGGTGAGTCCTTCTACAGCTGCTGGTCAAGTCCACTGCGACAGGGAAAGTTTTAAGGTTCTTCTCCATTTAGAGTTAAATTTTGGGGCCTAGAGCTTCCAACTCTTCTAACCCGATTGTGTCTCCTCTTTGAGGCACAGAGCCTGATCCGTCTCTCCTGTGACATGTTGTTGCCAACCCTTTCAGCTATTTCCCAAAAGGTACAGGATATGAATTCCTTCCTCTTGGTTCCCCTATTTCTTCTCATGCCAAGGTCCCTCCAGGCCTAGCTTTTCTGAATTCCTTCCAACATCTCCTGGTGACATTAAAATCTGCCACAGCAGATTGGCTGTTGACCCAATGGAGTATGTAAACAATCCTGAGTCATAGAAATCAATCTAATGCATGAAAGCTAAAGTAGCCTTGAAACTGGGGCTAGAAACTATAATATATAGTTCAGCCCAAAGAATTTGGTATGTCTTTTAAACCAAAATGCCACATATATTACTTACTACATTTGTATTTGTTCTCTTTATCCGATTCTTCAACATTTTTTGGAGTATTGGAATTTGGAGTATTTGGCATTTTCTTTTTTTTTTTTTTTTTGAGACAGAGTCTCACTCTGTTGCCCGGGCTAGAGTACCGTGGCATCAGCCTAGCTCACAGCAACCTCAAACTCCT